CAACTGACGCTCTCACAGATGTGTGATACTATGTTCACATCCTATGGCAGTGAGCCAACACCATGGAAATTTTCCAGTAATTTATTATGGCAACTCTGTACTCATAAAAGAATGTAGCCATCTGACCAAGAACGAGATGAAGATATGCTTGTACATATTCTCAACTTCGGCAGTCCAATTCAACTACACAGAGACCATTTATGAATGTTCTGTGCACCAGTGACTATCAAAGTAACAAGTGGTCTTAACTACAGATGGATAATATTTATGAGGTGGCTCTATAGCATATAAAAGACATGTTACAGCCTATGATATGCAATACGCTTCTAAAAAAGGCATTGACATGTCGAAACATTTGAAGATGACTCGTTCCTGTCCTACACTTAAATTCGTAAGCTACTACAATTCACCACGCTGTTTTTTTACCATTATATATAATATATATATAATGATGTATAGCTATATATACTATATATTATACCTATATACTATACTTCTATATATATGCGGAAAACACAAACTGTTGTTTGTATAATTGTATCTACTAATCATATGTCATGGATTGACCGTGTTATGTCTGTCAATATGAGTAATAGTTGTTCCTTGATAGTTTTTCTGTATAAAAGCATATTGAAACTTGAACATGTAAACATAACTTTGCTGGTACACATGAATACAAAAAACATGATGCTAAAATTGTTCATTGGAACAATAAAAACACTTGTTACAAGCATGGAAAAGCAATACCCAAAATTATTTTCTAAACTAATAACAAGTTTTAAAACGGCAGATGCAATTTGACGATCCATTGATGTCTACGGCAACTGGGACCCAAATACTTACGCCAAAAGTCAGCAAATCATACGAGTTCTTGGCGACTTTCTAATGCCCCTTTATTTCTTAAGGGGAAAATTTTCAGTATTTTTTGGGAGAAATTTCTGAATATTTAGTCACTACCTTCGAGTGACTCAATATTTGGGTTTGATCAGCTACCCAACATGAGATTGGGATTTAAGTCATTAAATAAGCACTTCAACTAATTGATACATTTATATCTAACAAATAAAACTTATCACATCATTTAAAATCAACAAAGTTGTGGGAACTTTAGTCTATTATTTAAATATAATGAAGATGCTAGCAAGAAACAAGTACTGTAACATCTGGAAAGGACAACTGTTACTGCATATGACACGTTCAGGTGTCAGAATGTGATCCTTGCAAAATCTTGACAATTGACACATGCTTCATTCCTTTGGGTAATGAACTGATAAAAGACGCCTGCGTTATGAATTAAATCATCAATATATCAACTGGCGATACGCTATCCAAAGGAAAACGAGCACCATTCTCACTACAAAAAGAATAGAAAGAAAACATAATTTCATGGAATTGCGACTCATATATAGGGGTAAAACATTATTTCATGGAAGTGCTACTCATAATCTAGGAGTACTCTTGCATGCTGCTATTTACAAATACGGACCATCATGATTCAAGGTCTATATTCTTTGTTTCCTCGTCAAGATAACAAATCCAAATAGTAAGGAGGAAGTAAGTAAAGAAGTAAACAACTGAAAAAAGGTTTAGGCAGCAGACCTGATGATCGCAGTTGCGACAGGCATAAAGGAGGATCTTCTGCTGCCTGTCCTCCTTTGGGTACAAGATATTGTTGCTGTCAATGACAAGCGAATAACAAATAATAATTAAGCCATAATCAAGGCAGTTAAAAAAAACTAAGCTAACAAATACACTTACCATTCACAGCAAAATTTCATGGTACTCATGGCTACTGCGGTGTGCTTCTCTAACTCCTGCAGATGATATCTTCTCTCTCTTTCCCAAAAGAAGCAAACACCCAGGAGGAGAAGGCCTTGACTGCCCACTATAGGGAATAAAACAAGAAGTATGGACAACTAAAGTGGAAATATAAATTATATTTACTAGAATCTTCCACAGAGATGCCAAGCTGATGCTAGTGGAACCTTGAAGGATGGAGGAAGAGTTCAAAAAAGTGTTAGATACTTCCAGGAGAAGCATGTCAGCAACTACTGGCCCCTTTCAGAAAAGTTCTTTCAACAAGCTTTTATCCTTTAGAGGGTTGATAGCTGCTTCTCTTTTCTGCTAATTAATAAAGAGGCACAGCAGTAATGTGTTGTGAACACTAAAAAATTTATTAGCATCTCCAGTGAGTTCATCCGCCTTCAAGTCAAATAGCAAGCAAGCATTAACGAAGACCTGAACAAAAACTTCATATCCACCTACAGTCTACAATTGCATATTATAAATTTGCAACATAAAGCAATGAAAATTAGGCTAACTGAAGAGAAGAGTAACAGAACATCGATATTGAATATGCCAAGAGAACCCTGTTGCCAATATATCAAACTTAAGCTGAATTCCAATGGCAACCAATAATGGCCACATAGAGGCATTAGTTACAGGAAATCCGGCAAATTTGACGTCTGTTATTGTAGAATATCACACAAACAATCCAAAATATAAAATAGGACGTTAAAAACAACTATTTCAACCCATAGACCACCTCAACAGGAAAACAAAAGGCCCAAGAAGTCATAAAACCAAACAAACAGATACCAGAATACTCTTCAAGGAGTCCTAAAACGTAGACAACATATACTAGAATGTCAAAATCTCATTAACTGCAAGCATTCAGCTGACCAACTTGGCCTTAACGCCTACGTGTGTGCCTTTTGCTCTTCTTCTTGCTCCTCCTGTCATCCGAATCACTATCAGAAGCTGAATCAGACTCAGACTCTGAAGAATCTGACGATGAGCTGTATTTATGATGCCTCCTCTTTTTCTGCTTCTTTCTTCTTCTCCTTCTCCTCCTTTCCTCCGAATCTGAGGAACTGTAGCTTGAGCTGCTCTCAGAAGAATCTGACTCAGTCACTGAGGACTCACTTTCAGTCTCAAAAACAGAGGCCTCACTAGAGTCCTCTGAATCAGAACCAGACCGGTGTTTCCTCTTGCTTTTCCCCTTAGTTCTACTCTTCTCACCCTTCTCTTTCTTCTGCCTCCTTTCGCTCTTCTCTCCCTTCTCAATATCAGGATTGTCTAAATCGTAGGAAACCGAGAGTGTCATCTTCAGCTTTGGGTTCTTGAGCTGTTGGGTCCTTGAAGGGCGAGACATATAAACTCTCTCATTCTTGCATTCATATGTCCAGTGTCCAGCCTGGAAGCACTTTTGGCACTGAGAAGCCTGACCACCAATTGAGGAGACAGAACCCTTGAGATCTTTTCTCTCACCGAGTTTCACAGCTTTCTCAGTACTCATAAGATACATTTGCCTTTTGGCTTCTTTTCTCTCTTGCCATCTACTCGGTCCTTCTTCCTTCTGTCCATATGCATTAACGTTTCTCGCAGCGGCTGCAGCTGCCCGCTCTGCTTGAGCACGACTAAGCCCCTTTGCAGCGGACAATGCTGCTGCTTTGATTCGGTCTGCAGCAGCTTGTGTTTTCTCTTCATTCTTTGACATATTTTACTAAATCTTCCAAACAAAACAAGACTGAGAACGTAAGATTTCCCTGCAGAAAATAGCATGAGAACATTAATCTCTCTCAAGCAAAAAGCTATAATTACGTATGAGCCATAATAAAGAAGGAAAAGGAAATATTGAATTATATTTTCCGAATAAAGCTACATCTGTCCGTAACTGAGTCATCAAGATCAATTCTGATTTAATATACTATTGAATGAAAACAACCAAAACTGATAGCATGAAATTTGTGTATCATGCCCTTCAAGAATTGTAAAACAAAAAATCATCAAAAAATATTTGAGAAATATTACCTTGAAACCTTCATACAGCTAATAAAAACACACAAAAAACTTGGGAAATACCCAGCCAAATAGCACAGTAAGAATCCAAATCCCTTATATAAAGTAAATACAACCAACAATCAAACTTCATCTTATGAAATAAGAACTAATCAGTATCAGATATGTCCATTTTATCACATGAAAAACAAGATCAATATCCATTATGTATTAAAAGATTCATTTCCTTCAGATCAAACAGCAACCTCTTTTAAAAATTGAAAGATAATCTGAAAAGGTTAGAGAATAGCCCATAAAAATCCCCAACACCAAAATTTCTAGCAACTTCTCAGACATGCGATTAACAACTATGCTAATTAATTATATGCTTAACATCCTAGTCATAAGCAAAAGGCTTATCCTAAAAGGATGTGAGATGGTGGATAAACCTTGAAGGTTGAAATTCTCTCTGAATAACTGCATCAAATGGCCAGAGAGAGATGTTTTAAAAACTTCAATCATTCCAAACCTCTTTCCAATTTTCTTACATAGACTGAAGTACTCGACAATTTTCTAAATATTCAGTAAATCTTGTTGTCAAACATTTGAGAAAATAATATCGAGGAAATCTCGAAAAAGCTACATATTACCGAATTTCTTTCCACTCGAACAACTACCTTAACATGAGCAAATGCTCCCTCTATCTCAAATTGTCTCTAGGAAAGTTCCCTAATTTCAAGGAAATCACCAAATATATGTCACTAAATAATAAGTATAGACCTTGTTAGGAACTACACAATCTCACATTAAGTGTGGGTTTATCAAAATAGGATTTCTACCATCTAATAACTTATTTGAATCCGCCACATGCTTCCACTTACAAGTTACAAGTGACTAAAGCAAAAATGGTGATGTGATATTGTTGTATTCAGTCAGGACAAGGCTAGTGTGCAATCAGCATCACGGGCATTAGGACTACAAAACATGACAACGCGTGAGGACTCTATTAGTCCCTCACTGATTAAATGGTCGGTCAAGTGTGCTCGGGTTCTCGCTGACGTCTAACTTTTCAGAATGAGTTGACGTAGATCTCCAACAAATACCATGTCTCAGTAAAAATATTTCTCCAAGAGATCAACGGAAATTTTGCCATTTCCTCTGGATGGATTCTTGAATTTCAACTAAACTTCATAACATATAACGTTGTCTAAAATTTACCCATAAACCTCCAGAGAACCCAACTTCCTTGAGGTACTTAGACCTTAAGAACTTTCTGTTGATGATAAGAATCTCATATTCGAACCGGACATTAAATTGAGCAAAACACGTTTCAAATCAACAACAGGATCGCAAAACCCTAACTAACTTTAGAACATCACAAGCTTTTAAAATTGAGAAGAAAGGTTGAAGCTTCCTAATTTTTTGTCAGTCAAGCATCTCTAAAAGCGATGAAATAATCGTATTTCAAGTTATTAGTGCGTAAATCTGAAGGAAAGAAGAGAGAAATCGGTACCTTGGAGCTGAAGGAGAGAGCAAACCCTAGAAATACAGAGAGAAAAAACAAATAAAAGAAATTTTTTCTGTAGTGCATGATCTTTCTTTTAATTAGATGCAAACGGATTCAGGCTTACTGGATTGCTTCCAACCCGAATATAGATCCAATATGATAATAGTCATAATTACGAGAAGCCCTCTAATTTGGACGAAACTTCCATGGCTGTTTGATTTGTACAATTTTATCCTCAAATTTAGAAATTTTCGTTTTTTTTAAGGCAAGTAACTTGTTTTCTTACTTTTTGAGGTGAAGTTGTAATTCCGTTTATATGAAACATGGTCAGGAACTTTATTATTTGTCATTTCATAGTTCTCTTGAAACGAAAGGAGGAGGTAAATTAGAGTATAAAAGTAACAAAAATCGAAGGTAAGATTAAACACAATTCATATTTATATACGGTAAACACAAACTTTATGCAATAAAACATATATTATTATACATTAAAATTATATATTTGATACTTAAAGCATTTGACATGCACATGAGAAACGAACAAATAATGAACAGAGCATACAAAAACCAAGCAATAAACTAAGCCATTTTATTGGAAACTGATGTAGGTTTAGACAATCACTCCAAACCCACACCGGATCCAATTAGAGAGGGTAATTTCCCCAAAAAAAACTGCACAATTTGATATGCATTACAAATGACAATTTACTAAATGGTAATTCATAAACCCTAAACCCTAGAGTAAATCCCAAAGAAAAAAATTAGCAAACTAAGATACATGAGATCAAGTAATCTGCTGCTAAGCCATTTCTTAAAAAATTAAACAGATCCGGACAAAAAAAACATCCAGAATGTGTAAATCTTAAGACAACTGATCCAGTTATCCATATAATCTATACTACATATAAAAGATAGATTGTCTTGTCAAAACTTTTGATTTTTAATTTTGCCCTTTTAAGTTTGATCACACGGGCTTAAATAAAACTTATTTAGTCAATTAATAATTTAGTCTTGGTTATCGAATAGGCTAACTATGTTAATAGTTCTCCTTAATCCCTCTTCATTAACCCTTTACTAAACAGAGTCTTAGGCTATTAGGTTATACATGTATTCTGTCAAAGCCGCGCCTTATTGTCAAATTAATTTTCCATTCATTTTGCTTCTCATATATCCTGTTCATCTTTCTAATTCATCTAACTCATTTTTCTTGTACACGATCCATGTATGAATATGAAAATAAGTAAATGAGAATATTTAAAAAATTGTTGATCATTCAACTGAAAAATAAAGCTCCTCGCATGCAGTTTATAGATGATCACAAAAGAAAACATATGCATCTAACTCATTTTTTTTGTACATGATCTATGTATGAATGTGAAAATAAGTAAATGGGAATATTTAAAAAATTGTTGATCAGTCAACTGAAAATAAAACTCCTCGGATGTAGTTTTATAGATGATCACAAAAGAAAATATATATGGTTGAACAAAAGAAAATTAAAATAGGGTAAAAATGATGGGTCTTGTAATCATGATGTTTTAAACTCTTCCATACCTTCAACGAGTACGCTAATCATGATGTTTTTAACTCTTTCATACCCTCAACGAGTACGCTATGTTTTGTCCAATTAATAATAGAGTCTTCTGCTAAATTAAGAACTAAACCTATAATCTTTTTAGGCTTAAGTGGCTAACATTTCTTCATATTTTTTGGATTCGTGCGCCCTCCTTCGATGTAAGAGATAGGGAGAAGATGGAAAAAGATGCACTAAGAAAGGCGAGTGAATAATTTGGACCGGAATTGGTGGGATATGATTTTTTGGGTGTGATTTTTTCCTCAACGTGTTATTTTCTTGCTTTGGAACTATAGTCGTCTACACTTTAATCTGACGACTATAAATATGGGAAGAGATAATGCTCTTTCCTCCTAAAAGAATAATAGCCCAACCCAATTTATTTTCAGCCTTTCCAAGTGCTTAACATAGAACATTCTTTCTTATTTTGTTTTGTTCTTTGTTCAGAAAACATATGTGAAAAAGTTTCGTTGGGAATTCGCTGTTTGGATTGGTAGCAATACATAACCTAATTTATTTTTTTGGACAAGCCATAATGAATCACATACAGAATTTTCTTCTACCATCAAGAATCACTCTTTTTATTTTTATTTTTTATTTATATTTTTGTACTAGCCATAATGAATTATACTTTAAACATGTCTCATGCAACCATTTGATCCACAAAGAGTCAGCTTTAATGTAGATCCAGTATGAAATTGCTGGGAGATTACCCTTGGTCGAATCTATTTTATTTGGAATCCAAGTTTTTTGGACTAGTGGATTCTTGTTACTAATGAGTATCGTATTGAATTTCAAAAATTTCTTGCTCAAGCAAATTGAATATTAGGAAAGTTTTAAAGAAAATCGTTTCTCATGTACATGTCAAATGTTTTAATTATCAAATATATCATTTTAATGTATAATAATATATGTTTTATTGCATAAATTTTGTGTTTACTGCATATAAATATGAATTATGTTTTAATCTTACTTTCGATTTTTGTCCCTTTTATACTCTAATTTACCTCCTCCTTTCATTACAAGAGAACTATAAAATGACAAATAACAAAGTTCATGACCATGTTTCATATAAAAGGAATTACAACTTCACCTCAAAAAGTAAAAAAACAAGTTACTTGCCTTTAAAAAACGAAAATTTCTAAATTTTGAGGATAAAACTGTACAAATCAAAAGGCCATGGAAGTTCCGTCCAAATTAGAGGGCTTCTCGTAATTATGATCATTATCATATTATCATATTGGATCTACATTCGGGTTGGAAGCAATCCACTAAGCCCGAATCCGTTTGCACCTAATTAAAAGAAAGATCATGCACTAGAGAAAAAAATCTCTTTTATTTGTTTTTTCTCTCTGTATTTCTAGGTTTGCTCTCTCCTTCAGCTCCAACGTATCGATTTCTCTCTTTTTTCCTTCAGATTTACGCACTAATAACTTGATGTACGATTATTTCATCGCTTTTAGAGATGCTTGGCTGCAAAAAATTAGGAAGCTTCAACCTTTCTTCTCAATTTTAAAAGCTTGTGATGTTCTAAAGTTAGTTAGGGTTTTGTGATCCTGTTATTGATTTGAAACGTGTTTTGCTCAATTCAATGTCCAGTTCGAATATGGGATTCTTATCATCAATAAAAAGTTCTTAAGGTCTAAGTACCTCAAGGAAGCTAGGTTCTCTTGGAGAAATATTTTTTCTGAGACATGGGATCTGTTGGAGATCTATGTCAACTAATTCTGAAAAGTTAGACGTCAGCGAGAACCCGAACACACTTGACGACCATTTAATCAGTGAGGGACTAATAGGGTCCTAACGCGTTGTCATGTTTTGCAGTCCTAATGCTCGTGAAGTTGATTGCACGCTAGCCTTGTCCTGATCAAATACAGCAATATCACATCATCATTTTGGCTTTAGTCACTTGTAAGTGGAAGCACGTGGCGGATTCAAATATGTTGTTAGACGGAAGAAATCTTATTTTGATAAACCCACACATACTTAGTTAATGTGAGATTGTGTGGATCCTAACAAGGTCTATACTATTATTTAGTGACATATATTTGGTGATTTCCTTGAAATTAGGGAACTTTCCTAGAGACGATTTGAGATAGAGGGAGCATTTGCTCATGTTAAGGTAGTTGTTTGAGTGGAAAGAAATTCGGTAATATGTAGCTTTTTGGAGATTTCCTCGATATTTAGGAAATTGTCAAGTACTTCAGTCTATGTAAGAAAATTGGAAAGAGGTTTGGAATGAATGAAGATTTTAAAACACCTCCCTCTGGCCATTTGATGCAGTTATTCAGAGAGAATTTCAACCTTCAAGGTTTATCCACCATCTCACATCCAATGGCCTAATTAACAAAGACCCGAACAAAAACAACTTCATATCCACCTACAATCTAGTTCCAAAGTTAGGGAAGAGGGTGGCAGTTGGGGTTTTCCCGACACCAAACCCTATCTATTGGTGGTTCCAAATTATATCATTATCATCTACCAAAGCTCACAAAGAAGGAACTGCCGAAAACAAGGTCTAACATGAAGTGAAGTTCTAGACTTTCTTAACACTGAGGATACTTGCACTAGGAAATACATAAATGCATCCACCTTTTAATTTCAATGAGATCATTAACATAAAAGGTTTCGCTTGATCGCTTATTCTATCGAGGAACTCCAATGTAACAATGTGCATATTCGAAGGGGGTGCTTAGTAATTACTAATTAGAGCCATCGATAGCTTAACAAAATGGTACTTTGGTTATTCAAAATCCCCTTCTGAGCAAGCTAGGGTTATTTCAATACAAAAGAAAGACTTAAATAAGATGGGTTTTTGACCTAAAACAAATATATCCACAACCAATAAATAAATGAAATGAATGCATCACGATCCAATTTCAGATCTACCGGCGATTTATTTTTGACCCAACCAATAAATAAATGAAATGAATGCATCACGATCCAATTTCAGATCTACCGGCGATTTATTTTTGACCCAAATAATCAAATAAAATGGGGGGTGCATCACGATCCAATTTCAGATCTACCGGCGATTTATTTTTGACCCAAATAATCAAATAAAATGGGGGAAAAAGTAACAGTGTCGAATTCCTAACTAATATATTAATAAAACATCATAATAGTCAGATCTATGTATCTAATTTTGGTCGAAAACATTTGAATGAAATAAATGAATAATTTTGAAGGAAAAAAAACTGACCTTGGATTTTGGAAATTGAAGAACAAAAACAGGAGACGGTGACCTATTCAAAGAACTCGGGAGCTAAAAGCTCGGCTGTAGGCTATATTTCTATAAAGCCATTAATAATTTGTCAAATTACAAAATGAGGACAGGAGAACCGTAAAATTGCAGTATACAGCACAAGGGATTGTTACCGCACGTGCGCTAAATTCTTCAAACACGTGAACTGTATAGTAGGCACGCGCCATAGGCCCATAACTGTTCAGCAACTGTCCTAGAGTTCACTCTTTTACCCTCGTCGAAGTAAGTAATAACTTCTTTGATTAAAAAGTCTAATTTTTTAAACTTGATTAATAGATATCAAGAGGTCAATGCGTACAAGTTAACAGTTTATTTTGCAAAATATATTGTTAATGTTAGCTGATAACTCGTCTTGCAAAATGAATTATCAGCTCATATACTTTTTTTTCCTCCTTATATTAATCTTCTGGTCATGATTTTTATGGATGTCAAATGATAAACATAAAATTGAAATGGATTTTATTAGATAATGCATCTCTTTTTATATAATAATCATGATAGATATAATTACATGCAACTGAGAAGTTTTGAGCCAATATATTTGTTCACCGTGGCAATAATACAAAATGCACTTGCCAAAAAGAAAAACTAATTACAGTAGGAAACATACACAGATTGGAATGATAGGTATAATCAGAACTTTTTAATTGCAAGCAAATTCTTAACAAAATTTCAAAAACTAAAATTTGGCGTAAATTTTAAAATTGAACAGAACAACCACAACTCAACTACATTTGACTGTAATTACAACAAGAGTGGCATTGGTACTCCAAAAATAGTTTGTTTGTTTTTTAGATTATATTTAAAGGGTAGCTTAGTAGTTTCTCCCATCTTCTTCTTCCCTCCTTAACAATGTTTTGTGACTATAGCTAGAAAACCCAACATATAACCATTGTTAAGGAATTAACTCATTTTAATTTCTCAAGAAGAAGAGTTAGCTTAACCCTTTATGCATTTTTTAACTTTGGCAAATTATAAAGGGTTAACTCACTTTAACTTTTGTATAGTTTTTTGGTGTTTGGTGAGTTAAAAAGGGGTTAAGTATCTTTAACCCCTTACTTAACCTGTTGCCAAACGGCACCTATGCCACCTTAAAATACCAACTCTTCCCATCTTTAGACTAAATTCTACTAATATCTCATTTTAATTTCTAACCTATTAAGAGATTAAATCCAATAGTTTTAAATATGGGACAATTTTCGAAAACCAACCTATTTACAAATTTAATAGCAGGAAAACAACCCTATTTCCAGATTTTAATTGCAAAACCACTGGTTTCAGCCCTGGACTGAAACCAGGTCGGTTTTTGAAAATTTTTTATCCGAAACTTCACGGGCAGTTGGAACTCCGTGAAAGTTTCGTAGGTTCAAATTTTTTTTTTTTTTCGGGAAACTTCACGGGTCAAACTCCCGGTGAAGTTTCGAAAGTTTTTTCACAAAAACCGACCTGGTTTCAGCGCCAGGCTGAACCAGACGTCTCGTTGCATTAAATCTGAGTGGTTGTTTTCTTGATTAAAATTTGTAAATAGGTTCGGTTTTTGAAATTTGTCCTTATAAATATTGGAGAAGAAGACGCTCTTCCCTCTTTAAAGAGCATAATAATCAACCAAATAAATGACACGTTTGGAAACTTTCCAACTAATAAACAAAGTTGTTTTTCGGTCTAGAATATTTTTTATGTGTTTTCAAATCTTTATTGGAAAAGCCTTTTAAGTTTGATGCCCCCTTATGGTGACTAGAAATAAATGAATTGAAAATATATACATACGGGTAAAAAGTACTTATTTATTTGATTAGAAAATAAAACTTTATAAAGCACTTATTTTTCAATTTATAACTATTTTTTAATTACAAAATATTTATCTACTAGCAATTTCAAATAATCTTAGAGAACTAATTTTAAATAATAAAATTTTAAGGAACTAACATAGAAATTTCCCAAAAAATAAGTTTTCATTTCAAACCTAACAATTTTCTAAATTGTACAACAAAAAAATGTGATTGATGATATTTCGTGAAAGAAAAAAGTGATTCAATAAAAACTCAGTTAAAAGTGGTTCTTACTTTTTCATTTGTATATGACATCCGCACATTTTGAGGAGAAACTAAAAGTGCATTAAATCAGCGGTCAAAAAAAAAGAAAACTAGTATAAAATCCGAAATAAAAGTTAGAAAATCAGGACTGAATGGGAGCGATCGTGATTTCACTGTTCTAGAAGATTGAGGACACACCTATCGCCCCGGCACAGTCGATCCTCTCTCCCCTAGCGGTAAAACCCTTCGGTTCGGCTGGCCTTCGTACTCGGGCGAGAGTAGCAGAGCTTAAGCTTAGACGAAGAACGTTACCCAAAGAAAAGTAGTAACACAATAGCCAAAATAATTTAGAAGGAGAGAGCTCGGTTTGAGATGGAAGAGAAGAGATTTTCATGTGCTTTCCGGAGGAGGAGAAGTGCGGTATCTATAGGAGTTTGAGGCCTTCAGATCCGTTGCACATCCCGCATATTCTCCACAAACTCGCGTAACACCCCGCGCGATCTCCGCAGCCATTACGTGACCGAGTCAAAATGTGTAAAACGTACAAAATATAATCTGGAGAAGTAAAAGGAATGTGTACGTGTGCGGTGTGGTGCGCACATCGTGAGGCGAGGCATGGCGTGTGTGCACACGCGCGTGTTATGCAAAGCCCACCCAATACAAAACTCAAAACACTACTCAAAGCCCAAGAAGCGGTGTTCCAATATAAACCCCTCACTATTCATCTCAATTTCTAATGTGGGACTATTCACAAAGGCAAGATTGCATTTTTACCCCCCCCCCCCCCCAAAAAAAAGGCAATATTGACTGAAGACTAAAAATTAATAAACAAATCAATAAATCATAAAACAAATATAGGTTGGGCAACCATTCGTATCGTGAATTCGGGAGATGTATCTTTCGGCTTTGAACCTTTCCTTAGTGAGTTCATCGCCACCTAAGGGACATAATGGACTAGGCTTTGAATTAGGCCCTTCTACCAGGTATTGACGAAAACATACATAATACGTCTTCATCTATTGAGCAAAGCGAGTTGAGTGTTAAAGGTCATGCTCACAATAACCGACTTATGAGAGTTTCTAGGGGTTAGTTCGTGACCATCACGGTTCCTCTCATGTAGGTTAGTCCTCCAAGGATAGTATATCTGCATATCATACCCTCCGTAATACACGCGTTGGACTTATTAAGAGCAAAACTCAGCCTAACCAACTGTATCATAAGAGCATCGTCACCAAGAGAAGGGGAAGTAGCAGAAACTACCATAATAATATATAAATATATCTAGGTCGATGCTCCACACGAGAGTCACTAGTCCAGCTTGTTACTACTATATTGAACCTACATTTGGACTACATCTCCAAATAAATATTGGATTACCACTATCATTGACCTCATCTATGGGCTTAACCTCATCTCCCTCGATGAATCTAGAACCACATTCCTGGATAATCCCTTAGTCAAAAGATCAACATGATTCTTCTCAGACTTTACAAAGTCCACGATCATAACTTTGACTAGCAGGCGTTGTATAGATTTATATCTTATTTAAATATGTCTATTAAGTTTTTTATTTACATGTACTTGCTTTAGAAGATCTATGGTAGATCTAGAATCAGAATGAAAGGAAATAGGAGGAGAAGGTTTAGGGACTAAAGGAAGTTCAGAGAGTAGATCTTTTAACCATTCTACTTTTGTGCAAGTGGTTCCTGGCAATTACTGTTTGCTTACAAGATTTTGAAGATACAGCAGCACCATAAAAAAGGAATACATATCCAGATGTAGACTTTATATTGTTAAAATCCGTGACCCAGTTGGCGTCACTATACCCTTCTATAGCAGCAGGGTACCCAGTGTAAGTCAAGCAATAGTCAACTGTATCATTCAAGAATTTGAATACTCTTTCTAAGGCAGACTAGTGGTCTTGCTAGGGTTGCTAGTATACCGGCTCAGTCTCCCTACATCATAAGCTATATCGGGCCTGGTCCGGTTGGATATATATAGGAGAGATCCAATCAGCTGGGAATACTTCAGCTGGGAGACAGGTTCACCTTCATTCTTCTTCAAGAATATAGAAGAATCACAAGGTGTGGAGACAGATTTAGAGTTATGAAAGTTGAATTTGATCAGCATTTTCTCAATACTATGAGAAAGACTCAAATATATTCCTCTAGTGTCTCTAGTGATTTTTATTCCAAATATCATATCTGCAGGACCTTCTTTCATGTCAAAGTTCTTAGAAAGATAATCCTTAATATTTAAAATTAATTCAAGAGTTGTTCTAAAGATAAGGATACCATTAACATAGAGACAAAGGATGACATAGTTATTGTTCCTCACTTTGGTGTAAACACATTTGTCGTGATCGTTCACAGTGAAACCATATTGTGCAATGACTTTGTTAAAATTTTGGTACCATTGTTTAGGAGCTTGTTTTAGACCATACAATGATTTAACAAGTTTACAAACTTTGTTTTCCTGACCCTTGACAATGAAGCCTTCAGATTGGTGTATATAAATTTTTTTTTATCTAAATCACCATTCAGGAAGGCAGTCTTGACATCCATCTGATGTATGATCAGCTTATGAATAGCAGCAAAGACTAATAATACTCAAATGGTTGAGATTCGGGCTACACGAGAATAGGTATCAAAGTAATCAATGCTATTTTGCTGAGAATAGCCTTTAGCTACTAATCTAGCTTTAAATTTATCTATGGAACCATCAGCTCTAAGTTCTTTCTTGATTATCCACTTACAACCAACAGATTTACAACCTGGAGGTAAGTCGGTAAGTATCTAAGTGTGGTTTTCCATGATAGATTTAATCTCATTATCAATTGTTTCTTTCCAGAAAGGAGATTCAGGTGAATCTATTGCTTTTTTGAATGAGCTTGGATCACCTTCAACAAGAAAGATAAAGAAGTTTTCTCCAAAATCCTTTTGAATTCTACCTCTTTTACTTCTTCGAGGTTCAATATCAAGAGGC